AATAAGGAGCATATCCATGAGGATGAATCTTTTGCCACCTCCAAGCAACCTGAAGACTCTCTTCAAGATTAGTGAATCTAGCAGTCCAGTTCAAATCTTTCAATATCTTTGTCGGATCACTATAAACTTCCGCGTAATCTCCAGGTCGTCGAGGCAAGAAATCTACTTTGATCTCAACTCCGGTCGCCTTCTTACACGCCTCCACGAATTCCTTCACCGATCTTCCTGCTCAACCAAACCACAAAATGGTTAATCTCAAAACTGTTAGCGAAAAAAAGAGTTCTTGTGTAGTGAAAATGTTAAAAGTCAAGACCTTTTCCAGTTCCAACATTGTAGATGCCGACTTTTCGAGGCTGAGCTTTCTCGAGAGCCTTGACGTGAGCATCAACGAGGTCAGTAACATCAATATAGTCTCTAATACAAGTCCCGTCCGATGTTTTGTAATCCGTTCCTTTCACCTAATCACAAACCATATCATATAAGGGTTTTTGCAAAGAACCAGTTGATCATATTGTAGATTTTTCAAGAATGTATGTTTACTTGCAGTCCAGGAATGAAACCACGAGCTGCATCGAAACAAGCACCAGAAATCCGTCCTTGCTCACGAAGCTCGGGTCTTGGAGCTTCTCCTAATCTACCTCCTGGATCTGAACCAATCACATTGAAGTATCTGCAAGTCATAAAAGATTCATCAACATTTGCAATTGTTTCATTCATCATAATGGCTCAAGAAAGTAGTCAAGGAACCTAACCTTAAGATCATAACCGCCATGTCAGAGTTCTTAGAAAAATCCAAGATCATATCCTCTGCCATCTTTTTAGCTTTTCCGTAAGGATTAATCGGAACCTAGACAAAATATTTTCCATTAGAAAAGAAGAGATTCATATCGAATCAATGATCTTACGCGAAGTTAAGCTAATTTACCTGAGGAGTATCTTCGGTAATTGGCATTTTTTCAGGCTCTCCATAAGTAGCACAAGTGCTAGAATATATCAATTTCTTCACTTTATGTCTAGCCATAGCTTCAAGAACTCCTAATGTGTTTGATGTAATGTTATGGTAATATCTGCAATGGACAAACATCAAACAATGAGACCAAAGGAACAAATTCTTGCAACATTGTTTAGACCTATAGAGATGAATTAGGACTATACTTTAGAGGATAAAGAGTGCTTTCACCAACATAAGCTACCGCAGCAAAATGCATAACAGCGTCAAAAGCGTTCTCTGAGAATATTTTTTCGACCTGAAATTGTATCGGTTAAGGGGAAAACACACACAAGCTTCAAAGATCAACAAAAAAACAGTCTGAAAATGTATAAAAGTTATGAAAGGATACAGCTTGGGGATCTCCTAAGTCAGCGTAAATGAATTGAAGTCTTCCGGTTTGTGGGAATAATCGCTGTAAAACCTTAACCGCGCCAAGATTCCCACGGGAAAGATTATCCTATTGAGAGACCAGAAGGAAATCAAATTTTCATCAAATTGAAAAGTTTGATACTACTATCCAAGAAAGAGACATTTACTTACCACAATGGTTACGCGGTATGAATCTCTAAGCAGCCTTAAAGCGGCATGTGACCCGATATATCCAGCACCACCAGTGACTAACACATGAGTCACTCCTTCTTCTCTTAGAGAAAACTG